TGTTATAGGCACTAAAGGCGCGTGGAATTGTGCTAAAAATGATTTATATTTAAGTTCGGACATACTTAATGGTGCAATAATATGGAATTTAGGAAGAAATAATAGGTTTTTGTTAATTAAATAATCAGTAGTATATTTCTTCTTAAAGTCTAATTTACCGTAACATTTATTCTCAGAGAAATTCACTTTTTTTTTATTTGTTCAATGCAAAATTTGTTTTAATATTTTTTTGTAATAAAATTTGGTTAGACAAAAGTTTACTGGTACCTGCAATCACTATCCGTTCGTACAATTTACTTTATTTCAAAACTTGGTAATTCAACGAAACGTTACTTCTTCCGAAGTTCTCAAACACACAAGGTGGCGCTGCTGGCTGGCGATGGTATATTTTCCTCACTTAACGCAAATAACGCCGTAACTTTTCGCCCGTGTGCGAGTAAGCATAACTCGCCCCGTAAGAGAGTGGATTACCGCTTCGGCAGTAAACTTGTCTAAGTGCTGTTGTCTTGAACTTTGTTCCTCTATTTGTTCGGTCATTTGCTGGTTTTTTATTGTTTTTCTTTAATTTCTTGGTTTATTACGTGTTTACAAAGATCAATAATGACCTCGGAAAGGTTTGAATGAATGAGGAGCATTTGTAAATAAATGACTTTTTTCCTTGGTTTCTAATCGTTTAATATCCTGGCAATATCCTGCGAAATTGTCCGTAAACATCGTAAACAGCCGGCCAGTGATAAAATTAGGGATTATTTCACAAATTTCCTCCCTTTGGATTAAACGCTTAATTGACGGGACAACTAAAGGGGGTGACACAGTGTAATAAAATAAATTGATGCGGATCGATAATATCCGATGATATAAGAATACCTGCATTTTACGAAATATTATACTTAGGTACTACTCCTCGCTATTGAAATAATTCTTGTAATATTCACTTGTATGCTTTTCCACATTAAACGTTAAAAACGGCTATATCAATTGTTTCAATTGTAGATAGTGCACAGAAAAAAGGTTTAGTTAGCCTGGTTACATTGAACTAAATCTGTTGTTTCAATAGAGCCAACTAAACATAAGGTTATTTCGGGTTATTTTAACAATTGCTTTCAGTTATATTTTACAACTAAATATTTGATTAAAATAAACATGTATATACTTAGTTGAATTGACCTTTACCTGCCAGTCCGATATACTTAATACCATTGGTTGAAATGACTCAATATAATTTGTTACCCTTACTAGGTTAACGGCTTGGTACAACTTACCCATGGCGTTTGGCGCATTTATTTACCTAACAATTAAAATTAAATATTGAAATATTTGGGGTAGAAGTTTCTTCAAGAAACTTCCTTCACCCATTACTGGTATTATTCAAGAGAATTGAACAAATACAGACAGACAGCTGTTTCGACCTATATTGGATCTAATCAGTGTCGGACAACTTGTTGTAGTTGAACACTCAAAACAAAGAACGACCTAAGCTTATATACTGTCCAACTAAGCCAACAGAGGCGAGATGTAAGAACATCACGTGATCCACAACGATCTTTGCCGCGATCGGTACATACTATGCAACCAGAATGCACGGCAAATTGTTTTAATCGTTTTAACAGAGTGCTTAGGGTTAAAGTAACTCTTATTTTATAAAAAACATACAGTCAAACTAATCTTTGTTTATATTAACCTTCCCACAGTTAATTCAAATAAGTACGAGTCAACCAAATTAGTATTATTAGTACTATAATAGTTAAAATAACCATTCCTTTTTTTTCTGTTGGAGCAGAGAAAATCCTCATTGGGTAGTAGGAGCCAATTCCCAATACCGGGAAAATCAGATCATACACAGAAAAAATCTAACATAGTATTCATTAAATGCATTAAAATTGAAGCAATCTAAATTGTTATTTGCTCAATTAATTACTATTAAACCAAAATAGGGAAATATTTTGCCTACTTAAATGTCAAAGAATTTATTGCGTTAAATGTATACATACCTAGTAACGTTATTAAATAAATCAAATTAGTATTTAATGCAATAACATTCTAAGTAAGAATTTCTAACATTCTAACAAATAAATATCAATATGAATATCGATAGATTTAGGAGCGATAACTTTTGTTATTAATTTAAAAATATTAAACGATTATAAACCAAGTGCTAACTACCTATTGTTATTATAGGAACTGTTATTCAGGAATACGGATTACAAGATCCCATTGGTTTAATGGCTCACCCATTCATGCTATGCTAGCGTTTTTTCTGTGTAGGTACTTTCTTCTTTGACGCGAATATGACAGGACAAACGTATTTGGAATTTTTGAACAACTCTCTTCTTCCTACATTAGCAGAAATGTTTCCCAATGAAAATGGAGGTCCCGATCTACCAAGTGATACCGTTTGGTTTCACAGAACGGGGAATTTTCGAATAGGCTCAAGGAACCAACGGATAGCAATTTGAACATTTAATTGGTTAATGAAAAGCATTTTTAAAATAATGAAGATAAAAAATATTTTTTTGGAAATAAATTTTTTTAAATCACGAACTGTTAAATTTAATAATACCCAAACTATCAAAATGTGCGGAATTAATAAGCAAAATAAAGTAATTTTTAGGGGGAAAAAAGGTACATTTTTTATAATGATTTCCGAATAAAAACATTTAAACTGTAATAAAACATTTTTAGTGTCCATTTAAAAATAAATAACTACCTATATCACGTTATAAAATCATCAATAAAATAAATTGTAAATATTATTCTTGATAACAAATAATCCGTATAAAATAACTCGTATCAGAATAAATAAAAATCAACACAGTAAATAATCATTTTGTGTACTACGAATATTTTAACGATTTTGTGAAATAAATAAAACAAAAAATTGTTTGTTTTCTGCAGTTAATGTTTACATTTTTGACACATAAAAAGCTCCACTTTGATAAAGGCAGGTATGAACTTTTATTGTCACAGTATAAAATAAAAAGGTACCTACTTCGCCATTAGTGAGGGTATTAATAACGAATAATACATTAAATCTACTAAGTATAGGTAAGTAGTTAAAACAAATTTAATTTTTGACTAAATAGATTGTGACACGTGACAGCTCCATTACCTTGATTGATATGCGAGTTCAGGAGCGTACTTTTAAAGCGGGTGAGAAATTAAATTGCCTCGAGATGAGTTCACAATTTTAAATTATTAATAGCTCATTTCCCAGCCAGTGGGTGAACAGTTTTACAAGCCTTATTAAAACTTAGTTATTTTTGTGTGTTACAGAGATAAGAAAACTTTATTGTTTTAAAAGAACAGGTTTGCAAATATTAAGACACCAAACACACACATAAGCGTAAGTGTGCGTACGCACTAAAACAATATTTACTTGTCGATATGCCACAAACAACATGTAAATTATGCATCTACAATTTACACCATCAGAAACATAAAAAAAATAATTTAAGTTTATAAAAATTAAATTCTTTGCGTATTTAGAAAACTTCAGCAAAGCCCATGAATATTCATTAATCCTATCCCATATCGACAAATTAGTATTCAAGTGATACGAGCAGACTGTAAATTTTCAAGCATACCTAAACATATTTAACTACAAATTTGCATGATTACTGAATTTACACTTTGACTCGACAAATTTTCCCACCCCAGGTTCTTGGTTGTCTCGCTTTATTAAAAACTTTGGTTGACATGCTAAAAATGTATTTAAACGACGGTCACAATAATAATGAAAATGTAACGCCCAGAAATAAAACAATTGAAATTTGCATAAGCAATAAAATAAAATTGCCTTCCTAGCGGTTTTATTGTTTTCTTGACCTAAAAACTAATTTGGCAATGCAGCAAAGCAAATTTGCGAACAAATTAAGTGTCAAGCAATTTTTTATCTCTGCTTTGCCAGTATTAAGTATTAAAATTTTAATTCCCAAAACTTTCTATCTATCTCAATTAAAACATAATCACCAACCATAAAAATTACGAGATTTTATCAATTAAAGCATAATTGGGTTAATTGACGTAATCGAGATCCAATGCATTATTATATAGGTATACAACCATCCATTATAAATTATTTTATCTCTCTATAGTGCATTGGGAGAGTGATCACACAAAAAAAACTCTACGGTATTTTTATAACATACGAACATAAACACTGAAACATTTTAACTAAATTGCAATTCCATTAGACCGACGTACGTTTTGCATGCACACAAATTAGTTTTATAGAACGAAATGGAAGCTTTTTTTAACAAATCAAATAAATTCATCAAAACCGCAAAAAAATTTGATTTTGTAGGTTATGTAATTAATTACTTAAATTGCCTAATCAAAGGTGGCTTAGGTTAAATGACGTTTGTGCACTAGCATTTGTTTTTATAAATGTCAATTTTTGACTTTGTGATTTTGCAGCGACTACAATTCTCAAAATTGCAATAAACATGCATCAAAATCACTACATTTTTAGGGTGTTAATTAGGTTGTAATTGTATTGTCTAAAAAGTCACAAAATATGTCTAAAAATTGTTCTGGTTTGAGGCAGGTTAGGTTAAATGACGTTTCTAAACTGTCATTAGTTTGTCAATAAATGCCACGATAAATGCATTCTTACGATTTTGTGTTTGATGTAATAAATTAAAAAGTATATTGCTTATGTGGTGTTAAATAATTGAGGAATTTGTTTTGTCATTAATAATTTGTTTATAATAAATTGAATGTTTATAGTTTTTGCATTTTTTGGGTCACAAATTGTAGGTTTTCCGTGCGGCTTTTGTAATATGTAAACAAAGATGATTTTGTTGTTATTTGGGGTTTAATTTTTGACGTTTGACGTTGTTGTAACAAAGAAACTCATTGATTGGGTAAAAATAAGGATCATTTTGTTTGTTGGGGGTGTAGTGGGTATGGTTTGTGTCATTTTGGGCCTGAATTTTTTCAAAAAATGTTAACAACAATGTATTGGCGACGGTTTGTTTAAAAAATGGCGTGCAACTAACCTCGAGATCTTCGTATGTTTTGAATTGTAGAATGGAAAAGCCATCTATGAGATCCTCCTCGCAGAGGGGCTCTTTAGTTTTTTTCCTCCTGTTGGGGGGCCTGGGGGGTTTTTCTCTAACCAAGTCCTCATCTCCGCTGTCTTTCGAATTAATTGTAGTTTCCTTATCCTTCTGCATACGCTTGGCGCGTTTCTTGCGTCTGTTTCTCTGCTTTAACTCGACAGCATCCATTTTTCATACATTACGGCCTGAAATACGGCCCCAGCTCACACACCAGGTGTACAGTAGACATGGAAAATGCTCGTTCCGCGCATTTTCTCTCACTCCTCACTCTTCTCTAACATTTCACAACATAAACAACACCTCAAATCACACACACAACACTTTAAATCACTCACAAAGTCACCGAAACACCTCAAAAACAACGGAACAGCGACACGGGTCCAGTCAATACAAAGTAAAATGTCGCGACGTAGCGGCGCCCCCTCACGGCGGTTATGCGAACGCGGCGCAGTGTTGCCAACCCGGCAAACATGGCGGAATAATTTGAACAATGCCCATTATAAAACGCGCTGGGGGAGGGTTGCAATTGAATTCTTTGAGCACTATTCTTACCTACTGCAGGCATAGGTAACGCACCTTCAATGTGCCAAATAGAAACCGTTATAATCACGTAATAATATTCTGGAATCCCTCACTTTAGTTTTCTAAGGTTGGCTGCATTAAGTTTATATTTAAATATTTGTTTACGTCGCCTACGAACATCAAATAGATTATGAAAACACTGCAAAAATCAAGATTATTACACGGCATTCTGTTTATATTGTATACGGGTAAATATTTACATTATTTTATACTATTTTACATAAAATGTTGGCGCTTTTATGGACAGTTGGCATTTTTTAGATTTGCAATGTTTTTGACAGATGTCAATGCTACATTTATTAAAACTCTTCGAGTTTCAATGGAATTCAATAATAATATTAATTTTGCACTAGCAAAGCTAGTTTTTAATAAGCAAGTCTTCAGAAGTTTATAAAACGAATTGCATAGAAAGAAATGATTTTCAGAATTTAAAGGCAATTTTATCTGAAAACTGTCAAACGGGTTTAACCTCAAATTTTTTCATTTTGTCACCTGTCAAACTGTTTAACCTCACTTTAATTTGTTGAACTATTGCGTTAAAACCAAGGATTTATAATCGAATAAAATATTAATAATAAAATAAAATAATTTCTGGTTAATAAAAAGAATTACAGTCAATCTGTAGAAAATTAATTTTAATCAATGAAGCGTTTGAAGTTTATAAAAAAGCTTAACCCCAACTTTGCCTGTGGATTTTAGTAAAAAATAATTTTTTTGTAAGTATTTTATTTCTCTACAAAAACCAAAAAATTGACTTTAAAATAAACTTTGTATTCTGGTGGAAAAATTTAATTAAAGGCATTAAGCATAAATCCTCGACAAAAATTCTATAATTTATACGATTCGCTACCCTTTTATAAGTTATACAAATTACTGAAGGGTTCGTAAAGCTCGTCATAAGAAATAATAAGAAATATAATAGGCTTTTTGCTGGAAGGCAAAGAAGGGAAAATTGAGTTTCTTCTAAAAACAGATTGGGATTAATAATTTCAAAAACCAATTTTATTATCTTGGATTAATAGGATTATAAATATGAATTATAATAATTTTTATATTTCTATTTTTTCTGGGGATTAAAAAATTAAAACATTTTACATATCTTAAACTTAACTTTACTCTTTGTTCTTCCTAGGTTTTTTGTTAATGTTTTTTTTAATTTTAAACAAACCAGTAATTATTCAGTTGTTGTAATAAAATGACAAGCGGAAACAGATGTCAATGATACATTTTTTGCGGATGCGGAAGCTGATGTGGAAGCGAATTCGGAACTTATTTTTATTTTGAAATTTTTAAAATTATATACATCCTGTTTTGTTTACTTTTTTTGTATATAACCAACAAAATATTGTTGTAGATTTTTTCAATTCTATTTTGCTTTTATATACCTATGTATGTTTAAGGTAAAAATATATTGAATAGATTTTAGTACACCCCATTTAATACCAAAAGATTACAATTAAGTACTTTATTTCTCATTAAAACAACAGCTAACATATTTAAACCCAACAATTTTATAAACAACAAAACTTAATCAAAAGGTGGCATTTAAATAATTAAATATAAGCTAAATTTTATTATGTTTATCTTGAGTAATTTGTGTGCCCTGACTTAGTTTATATTAAGATGTAATAAAGTTTTCTGGTTTAAATAAATATTTCACTTGCTCACTATATTTTATTTAAGTTTTGATACATTTATTTGCGTTTCATTTATAACTTTTGTAAATATTTGGATTGAGCTACGTTATAAAATGTTTTAATTTATTAACTAAATCCCATAATTCAGTTTAAAATTAAAATTAAATTTAATATTCTAGTAGGTAGGGAAATGCGTAGGGTATGGTTGTTATGGAAACATTTGAATTAATATTAATATTGTGCGTGAAAATCACAAACCTAAATTTAAAAAAGAAACGTTCCTACAATACTCTATGTGCAGCGTTTTATAGTTCAGTCTCCATATTCTAGATGGCGCTGACAGCATTGTTTGCGATTTTATCCATGGTTGCCAAGTTGAACCTGTCGCGATTAATTACAACGTTGTATAAAAACCAGCAAACTTATATTTACCAGAAATCCTTCACAGTTTAACTTAAGAAAGATTTAAACGTTTTATATTTAGTTTTGTGAGATATTTTTAATGATTCCATACAAAATATCCACTTGGTAAATCTGACAATATCGCTTAAACAGATGATTCCATATGGTTGCCGCTGTGTTCAAGGGTTGCTTGTTTTTCGATAAAAACGCTGACGTGTTGTGATTTAAACTGGCGAATTAAATTTGTGTTGAAATGAAGGTGAAAACCGGGGTTTTGAACACTTTTTTGACCATTTCGTGCTTTACCGGATTGGGTTTATCCATTTACGCGTACTATATAGGGTTGAATTTGGAAGTTAATAAGAATTATCAGCCTTTGTGCGATATAAATGAAAGGATAAGTTGTACCAAGCCCTTCAAGTCCAAGTAAGTAAATTTTATTTTTATTTTAAGTCTTTTTTTATTCACCTATTATTGTTTTTTTAGGTATGCCAAAGGGTTGGGCTTGTTTACTGAAGATAGCATTTTTTATAAATCCAATAGTCTCTTTGGAATATTTTTTTACAGTTTGTTAACTATTTTGGGTAAGTTTTGTGTTACTAATGTAAGTTACCTAATGTAGTAGTCCTTTACATTGGAAAAAAGTGAGGTTTAACCCGTCTGACAGATGTCAGATAAAATGTCAAATAAAATTTACCATAAATTCTAAATATTGTTATAATAATAATAATTTCTGTTACTATTTTTTCAGCTCAATCGAGCACGAGATTCACCACCTCAATATCCTTCGTACTAATCGCTTTATCAAACTTTTGCTCGCTATGGTTCGCTTACATCTTGTACTACGTCCTTTACGACCTTTGTATGGTGTGCGTGGGAACGTATTTGGTAAACTTTTTCAATCTTATCTTGGTACACTTCAAAATGCGCAACACAATGGACCACATCCTTGATGAAAGTAGAAGGAAAAAGAAGAAAGAAAAACACAATTAATTTTTTTTTTTGTTATTCCATATACTTCAATTTGACTGGTAGCTGTAGCGAAATAAGCGTTTTTTTTTCGTTTCCCCCCGGTCCTTGAAAAAATGGCTTTATTGGGAACAATTTTTTTTTAATTTTAAAATACACACATTTTAATAACGTTTATAAATTAAATATTTTATTTTTACTTGGTTCATAACTTATTTTAATAAAATTTTAAAAAAACCTGCATTTTGCAGAAAAAAAAACGAAGTTCTTTTTCAGTTTTTTTTCTCGAAAATTTTAAAACTACGGTAGCCAAAATAAGTGTATATAATTTTTTTAATATTTTTACCTAGCTAGATGTTCAAAATCTTGACTGAATGTATGTATGTTGATAAAGTTGTTTTTTGCTATAATTTTCTTTTATTTAATGTAATAAATATTTATAAAAAATATATTTCTACTTTTATTTATAAAAACGTAAAAAATTTTTGGGATTTTTCCTTTATTTATCTTGATTACTTTTAAACTCGGACTTAATATACATATCTAAATTATTTGTAAGTAAAGTTTATTAAAAAGGATTATGATATATATTACATTGGAATGGAACTTCCATTATGGAAGGACTGAGAAATAAAAATTAATCTATACTCAGTTCAAGTTCAAGAATTAGCATTGTTACATGTGCATAGGGATATAAAAATAAATATTGATAAGGTTTCGGATCGTTTTGCAAAAACGAAAACAGGACATTATATTTTTATAATTTGAATTTTATATTTAAAAAGATTACCTAGGTTCTTAAAAAAGAATTTATGTTTATGAGATATTTAGTTTTTTCCCTAATATACAAAAGCAAATAAACAGTTTTGCAAAATTATTTACCTTATATGTTACCCCCCCCCCCCCCCAAAGAAAAAATTTCCGACGGCCTTCACTTAGTTAACGGCCATTTCAAGCGGATGGATGGGACAAATCACAAAACTGTTTTTATAAAAAAAATTGTAGGTAATTTATTATATATTATTTTTGCATCAAAATTGTCAAATATATTCTTCTATTATTAGGCTATACATTAAATAAAAAAAATCGCAAGAAATATTTTATAAAAGTAGAGATAATTTCAATAATTGACAGGGGTGGACGGGACAAGATAAATTTGTTTTTGTCCCGTCCACACCTTTCAATTATTAAAAATTATATCTACTTTCATAAAATATTTCTTGCGTTTTTTTTTTATTCAATGTATAAACTAATAAAAGAAGAATATTTTTGACAATTTTTATGCCAAAATATTATATAATAAATAATCTACAATTTTTTTTATAAAAACAGTTTTGTAATTCGTGCGCTTGAAATGGCCGTTAACACAACTGTTGCTAGCTATAGGAAATTAAAATGTAATTATTTTTGGTTTTATTTATTATTAAACAATTGAACGTCCATATAACTTCAGCGTTATGTAAAATTGATATCATGGTGACGTCAAATTAAATCAAATTAAAGTCATTTCTATGTCGTTTTTCTTACGCCAGCATCTGACGAAATAATGAGTTATATATGACTCACTCAAAAGTATTTTATGTGAAGCATGATATTGAATGACATTATGCTGACATCAAATTTACATAAACTGGGTTGTCCATTAACAAATTTTGCACCACCCAAAAATCTATTCTGACACTTCTTAAGAGAATTTTTTTTTTTAATTTAAAATGTCGACATGCTTTAATTTCAAAGTTTAAAAGTGTCAGCTCTTGGTAAATTATAAATTTCAACGAGACGAAAATAACGTGGGATCATTACGACCAATATTTTGTATGTATAACACTTCTCCTTCCATGGTAAAAAAACGTGGGCAATCACATGGTCAACTGGAAGGTGAAACGGAGATCTCAAATGTATCGCGGCTCTCCTGCAATACAGAACAACACTTCGCATTTAATATTATTTCTGTTAAACGTGTTATCTTGAACAAAACGGACGTTTACATCTTTTCTGTTGAGTTTTTAAATAGTGTTAAAATAAACAGGTGATTTGTGGGGTGTTAAGTTTTTGGGATTAATATACATTTTTTGGTAAGATTTTTTGTATGTTTATTATTATATACATAAATAAATTATTATCTTAACCTTAAAAGAAATATTGATGCAGTGCCGAAATTTTAAAATACTCGAGACACGTTCTTAAAATGGTTTTATTGCGCACTTTTATCTTATTTATCTTTGTGGGTGTAACAGTCCTTCATAGAGGTTTTTGAATGATTTTCTGTGTATTTAAATAGTATTAAAATAAAATAAATAGTGTTAAAATAAACAGGTGATTTGTGGGGTGTTAAGTTTTTGGGATTAATATACATTTTTTGGTAAGATTTTTTGTATGTTTATTATTATATACATAAATAAATTATTATCTTAACCTTAAAAGAAATATTGATGGAGTACCGAAATTTTAAAATACTCGAGACACGTTCTTAAAATGGTTTTATTGCGCACTTTTATCTTATTTATCTTTGTGGGTGTAACAGTCCTTCATAGAGGTTTTTGAATGATTTTCTGCGTATTGCGTTAATTGACAGTTTAAGTATGATTTTTGGTTGAAAACATATTTATTTAAACATTTATTAGAATTTGGTGAATCATAAATAAACTATGGAGTAATTAGTCATATAAATATATATGTACCTATCGCATTTTTAACTTGGAAAAAACTGTTTCTCAAAACTTACCTTAAAATGATTATCACGTAACGAAATATTTTTTTGGGTTTTTTACTTTTGTAATAAGATTAATAATAAATGTACAAGGTTTACTCACTTAAAAATAATTATTTACCACAAAATTAAATGCTTGTAAGTTTATCTTTACAAATTTGTGACGTTTACTAATTATGTGAATTAATTTCTTGCGTGTCAAGACAAACTGTTTATAGTGTTAAGTCAGGTTTAATTAATGAGAATGTGTCTAGACTTAAAAATTTGTTTGTATTTTGGTTGAAGACATTTGAAGCTGCAAAATTTGCAATAATTTATTTCCGTGCAGTGTAAATATGTTCGTTATGTAAAATACGGTACCATCAAACATTGTGTCAATAGCTATCTAAAATTAACGATGACTCCACACATACGGACAATCCTTTTTTTATTGTTTATTTAATACATTCATACTTTGACTTTTACAAAACTTTTGCTCGAAGAAGGTTAATGTTTTTTTTAATTAAAAATGCCTGTTCTTGCAAACCTAAAAATAAATCTATTCTCAAGTCAATACCCTCCTCAACATTTTTATTTAGAAACAAAGTCCACTAATATTAATATTAATAATTTCAACTTAAAAAAAACCAAATAATTTAGTGGGCATAATGTGGGAGATTGCATATACAAATTCAAAGTTTAATTGAAAAAAAAAAATAAGTAGTTTGAAATAATTTATTTCAAGGATTTCAGACCATAAATAAAATTAGTTTGAAGTTTAAACAAAATATTGAGAAGGATGTCACAAAATTTAATGTGTTTTTATTTGTTTACATACATACTTCAATTATTTATTTATAATATTAAACCTTAACAATTGTTGCAATAATAACTTTTATGAAATTTACAACTTTCTTTTTTATTTTTATAAAAAATTTACCTATTTCAATTATTATATTATACGAAAGGTTTAGGAAAAATTAACGATGTCAAATTTACTGTAAATAAAATAAATAACAACATTATTAAAGTTTTTCAAGTAAAAAGTAAAACATTTAATTTTAACAGGTTGCTGACAAAATTAAAACTATACAATAAAAATTTGACCATCCTAAAGCAGCTTCTAGCCAAAAAGAGCCCAAATTTTAAAACTATATTAAAACCATTTAGGTTTTCTTTCCTAGAAATTTTTTTAAGGCAACGCATGTATTAAAACTTATTTGCATTTAGAATATACTTGTAGTAGACGAAATTACCTTAAGAATAAAAATAATATTTTGTTTAGTTAAGTGGGGTATCTTTTGTGTGAAATAGTTAATGCATGGCAGAGTGGTAATATTTTAAACATAACGCCATATATAAAGCAGATCATAAAATATATTCAAATGCAAACTATTCTGGTACTTTTCTGACAAAATTTCTTAAAATACTTTTTCATAACTCGAGCGCCATCAACTTAAATTTATTTTTAAGCATTCTCCAAACATAACATACATATCACGCACTAAAGGAATAAATATCAATATTTAACAGAAATGCATGCTACATTATGTATAATTAGATTCTACATATGACAGAATCTTATTTTTACTTGTCTTTAGAAATAAATGCTGATACGTACTTTTTATGTGGACTATACCACCCACAGACCTACCACCCATACCAAGCAACTTTTAAATTTTATTACAACTTTTAAATTTTATTACAAGTGGTAAATACCCTGTACCTCGGGAATTAGGAGAGGTAGGACAAAATTATGACAAAGTATTGCGATTTACAGTTATAACACCCTGTATTTGTGATGAGGAATAAGAAAATCATCATTGCGACCGAAAACTGTAAAGAGATACCAACAGGCGAGAGACAGCGAACCTTCCAGAAATAATTTTTCTATTTTTCATCTCTTAACATTTACATTTTTAGGTAATAATTTTAAATGTTTTATTATGAAAACATATTTTTTATTCAATTTCTTTTAAAAACATTTCAATTTATTTTTAAATTCACACCACATAGGTTTGCGTGGGAATTACCCATACAGTTTAATCCTATTAGCAATTCTGCTACCAACTGTGATTGTATCTCTTAAAAAAATAATAAATTGACCGGTAGTGTCCAACAGCGCGGCATTGGTTTAATACTGAACACTGTACATACAACAGCTAATTATGTAAAACAAATTCCTGAATTTGCACGCGCTAACTTAGAACACGTAATTATTCAAACACCGCATTCAATTAACTTTAAAAGTATTAAATAATTCTTACATACGTTTTTTCGTTTATTATTTTTAGACAGTTCCCTTCAATAGAAAATTATTATTTTACTTTACTTTTCCTTAATAAACACCCGGTACTATAGTCAATTCCATTTAAGAATGGAGTTAATGTCGCTTTAAAACGAGACCGGTTTACACAGGAGAACGGGGTAAATTTAAATATAATGCCATAACGCTGATATAATATTATTATATTACAACAAATATGGAAAAATCATAGCAACCCTAAATG